GTGGGGTGGGGTGGGTGCGGGTATGGGGTGGTGTGAGAGTGTGGGTGTGGGTGGGTGTGGGTGTGGGTGGGTGTGGGTGTGGGTGTGGGGTGGGTATGGGTGTGGGTGTGGGTGTAGGTGTGGGTATGGGAGTGGGTGTGAGTTTAGAATAAAAATCAAATCGCACCCACACTCTTCGATAAGCCTAACTCCAACATAATTTAAACATGATTTCAAGTTGATTTCAACTTGATTTCAACTTGATTTCAACATGATTTCAACTTGATTTCAAGTTAGATTTTAGGTGGTCATAATTGAATTTGAAATTTATAGAAAGGAATGTTATAATACAATAATCGACATTTTTTAATAAAATTTGTCGAATTCGACAAATTTGGATTTCAATTTTGTCGAATCGACAAATTTTTTTTCGATAAATTTTATTGACAAATTTGCGATCGACATTTTTTGTATTCGACAAAATTGTAGGCACTCACATTGTACTACCACCAGATTTGTCCATAATAGAAATTCAGATACAAATTTATCTAATTTAGAAAAAAATCCTTCACCAGATAAGAGTAAACGAGACAAATTATGAAAGTCAAATTTTAATTTAAAAATAATTCCATAGCACACTTTATCATGAAATGGTTTTAAAAAAAAAATCAAAATTTTTATCCATCTCTAAAAATTGTCATTTTTCAATTACTCTCCAATGGTAGCCTCTAGAAAGAAGACAAGAACGCTACGAACACGTTTTTATGCGTTCCTACGTTTCACACACATTCATGTTGTGTGCGCCTCGACCTGGGTATCAGCTTCTTCTCGTCTCTGCTGACGTGAACAGAAAAATTAAAAAATGAAAATTATATTTTGCTCTAAACAATGAATAGAAAGATGAAGGACTAACATTATATTCATGTTCTATTGCTTCACATTTGTCTATGTTGTCTGTGTCAGAGTAAAAGTGTGAAGATCGACTCGCATGCAACCACTTGTTTGGATTACCGATCAACCATCTATATTGTAAACTGACTGTGCAACAAAAAAATGTAATAAGTTACCAAAAAAGATGTCAAGCTGTGCATGAATAAAAATAGAAAGGCTACGAGGAAAGAATTGGTTATTCCATATCAGAAGTAAAAGAGAAAAAAACGAAAAAATATACATTGCAACATGCATATAAGCGATTAGATCATTAAAGTAACCTTTTTATAAACTTGAAATATCTTCTAAGAATGATGATTTTAGCGCACACTGTCAACTGATATTGGACAAATAGAAAACATAAAAACGTGTTTATTTCAACGTTCTCGTCATAAGATGCATATTTTTATTTGTTTCTCTGATAAGGAAATATTTATCTTTAGTATGTTGTACAACTGTCTTACGATCTATTAAAAAAATAGTTAGCAAACCACACAATAGGTTGAAAATATCGATTAATGCAAAATATGTGAAATTAACTGCAAAATAGAAGGATGTCTTAATATTAAAAGAAAAGACAAATAGACCGTTATATTTCAATTGATTCTATTCAGGCAGCATGGTTTATTCATTCGGGAGACTATTAAAAAACGTTGTTAATTTTCTATTGTGTCAGTGTTCGACTTGCTTTTCTATTCGAACAATATTGAACTTAATATATCTAATTCAGCATTGTTTTTTGCCTCCTCTTGAATCTCCAATCTTCACAACTTCCCCATGTTTACTAATGCCGAAATGACACTACTATGTGGGTTCAAGTGTGCGGGTCGGATTCCTTGTTGTACGGTATTTATACCTACCCATTCCTTCTTATTAACGCTTACTTGCACGAAGAAAAGAAAAAATAAAAGCTGTTTAACGTTGTCTTGTTTTTCGTTCGATTTCTTTGCATCTCTGCAATGGAACCAGTGCATCTACCTATTAGAAATCGGAACAGTGGGAATAAGTAACAAACAAAAGCGACATAACAGTGAATGAAAAAAAGAATAACCATTCTCTCTCATAAATGCTTACCTTTGCAGAGAAAAGAATAGAAAAATATGAAGGTCGACACACATTGTCTTTTCTTCTCATTCGATTTCTTTCATTCGCTTCACGAAAACTCATATATACATCCATCCGAGAGCATAAACACGAAGGTAAAAGTAAAATACAGAGAGACTGTCACTATGAAAAGATAGTTAAGAATTCTCTGATATTGGTATCTACCTTCCAAACGAAAGAATAAGTCGAAGATGAACTTTTTTGAATCGTGTGCCTTGTCCTATGTAATTACTATGATATTCATTATTGCAATTCATATATCAACTAGAAAGAGCAATTACTATTTCTATTCATGTAATTGTGAAATACTGTAGCAAAAACATTCATGTTGATGACATTTAAACATTAAAATCAGTTATATTTAACAGAAAAAGACGAAAAACTGTTCCAGCTATTAGAAAGTGTTGCTATCCCTTGTTTAAACTTCGATTTATCTGTTGCGTGTAGGGTGTGAGCGTTGGTGTTGGTATGGGTACGGATTGGTAGATTGAAATCTTCACCCACACTCGCATGTGTCACACATATATAGGAGCTACAGCTTTCGTTTTCCTTTGAGTTCAACAGAATGCTGAGTATGATTTCACATTTTTTTTTATTCTATCTGGATGTATGTTTTTTCTGTAATTTGTTTTTGAAGCTTTGTCTTTTCTCGCATGCTGTATGTCTCATTCAAGTCACATGTAATCAACCTGATTCAAAGATTAGAGTTTAGAGTGAGAATAGCTCGTATCTTGTTTTCAAATAGTTTTTGCTGAATTGCAATTAGGAGTGAGGATATGTGATTATTGAAGAGAATCAGGTCATGCAGATCCATCAAAGTAAAAGTGCTACATGAGTAATTTCTTTCTGAACTATCCTTTGGATGAGAGATTGTTTGCAAGCATTTGTCGGTCAACCTGTACTCACGCAAAGCCACCGTCGATAGTACCTTTTCATGATATCAAAGATGATTTTCAATGTCGTCTGTATTACTTTTAAATCATTTTTTGGCAATACTGTCACAGCGAAATATTTCGCATAAAACTGTAGATATTTCTATTCTATTTTAGATGTTTTGCTCATACCGAAAAGAGAGCTTTTAGAAATTCATTTCAACCAGTAAGTTACGAA